TTTAGTATATGTCTAATTAAACCATGGGCTTTGCTCCACCATTTGTGTATTCTGACCTGGCAGGAACTAATGCTATGGTTTGTTGGAAGGAGAAAAAACAGAGCACCAGGCCTGGCACGACAAAAAAAGAAGCACTGAACAAAGGTTTGTGATTTGTTTAGCTGTACTGGCTGCATGTTGCTCTTGGCCAAGAAGGTTGTTCAGTGAACTGGACTAACATGTACTACTAGAAAACTGATTTTTTTTGTCTGTTGAGTTGACAAAGGAATGAACTGGTGGTTTTTGTTAATAAGTTTTATTTGCCTATTTTTTTTAAAAAATAATTGTCTTCATTTATATTTTATAGTAAGTAGTTATCTTAAAATAGATATTTGAAACAATCTTTGGCAATGCAGACAATTGATTTGAACATTGTTTTTTTCTGTTTCCTTATAGAGAAGCATTTCTTAAGTGTGAAAAGGTGTTGAATTTATTTATTTCATGTCAAAAGCATTGCATAAATAAATATAAAACTGATAAAATAAAGAGAGCACAAGCAGCTAAATAATTTAAGACCAAAAACGGGCAACAGCGACCTCATTGTCGATAGCTTTGAACAATACTTTCTCTGTGCATGAGGCAGGGCATTGTGGACAAGCATACAGATATGAAATTGTTTGTTCTGCAGTGTCCTTGCAGACGGCCAATTCTCTCACACCAGAAGTGACTTGCAGTTTCTCAAGTTGTTCCTGAGGTCCCCCCAAATAAAACAAATAAAAAGGAAAACCAGCCTGTTTAGCAAGCTTTGCAAATGCTTCATTGTTATCAACAAACATTTGATTTTTATTTATTCTGTTTCAAAAGCATTGCATAAATAAGAATATAATTGATAATAGAGGGAGCACACATGGTTGAATAATTTTAAATCAAAAATGGGCAACAGCGACCACATTGTCTGTAACTTTAAACAATTCTTCCTCTGTTCATGAGGCAAGGTATTGTGGGCAAGCAAACTGATGTGGAATTGTTCATTCTGCTCCACAGTCACACAAGGTGGAGGATTCTTTTAGATAGTGCCATTTTGCCAGGTTGTCCTTTGATCTGCCCACTCCACTTCTGAGTCTGTTCAGGGACTTCCAAATTACCTATTCTTGGTTTGCCCCTGGAAGCAGACCCTCGTTGGGTGCCATCCAGTTGGGATTTCCTGGTTTAGCTGCCCAGTGTGTTGGATGAAGCATTATTTTCTAACATTGAATTTAAAATTAGTATTCTTGAAATTTCTGTGAATATAGCCAGGAAATGGAAAACCCGACATGAATTGAAGGCCTCAGTTGGCAACTTAAATTACTTAAACACTTCGGAGCAGTAATCTGTTATTCCAGTATGTACCTATGGATTGATGGTTCTCTAGGGTTTCGTATTAATTATTTGAGAAGGGTATTGTGGTGTTGTATATGTGCACAAAATTGTTTAAGATAACAAATTGTTCAGTTTCCCCAAAGATATTAATCTGAACAGAGCATGAGGATAGATTCAGATTTAAGTTGCACTTCTACTGGTGTAATGTCTAATTTCTGTTAGTGCTACCAGAGAAGAGGGAAAAGGCTTTGGGTAGGCATGGGACGGAAAAGGCTATGATGAAATAATAATAATAATAATACACTTTATTTCTACCCTGCCACCATCTCAGCTTACATGGGGCCAAGCCTGGACAACATAATACAGCAATAAAATCAAAGCATATACAACAAACAACATTATCGAAATGACATTAAAAGAGAAAAAAAATCTTAAAATAAACATTCCAATAAACACAATCATGGTAGGGATGACAATGGGCGGGCCACATATTCTGGATAAAAACAGGGATTGGTGAAATAGTCTGCTTAGATCTGGCAGATTTGCTTGCCTTCCCATGTCACTATTATGGATCCTGGTGGAGGGTACCATCGATAGTTCAATGCATTAACAGAAATCCTATTTTAGGTCTGTATCCACTCTTCTGCCCTTTGATGCATCTCCCATCTTCTGGAAAATGTTACTGAGAGGGTCGCAGGAACCCGCTTAATGGAGTCAGTTGTGGGTATACAGAGAAAATAAAAAACCCTAAACTTTAGAATCCAGCTTATAGTGTTTGTCTAAATACAATTTTGTTTAAGTTGACTTAACACTTAATAGAAAATATGTGAAAGGTGTAACTGTAAATCATAAGTGCTTTGAGAAGTTTTCTTTAGAACATTGTTTTATTCATCATGTTGCTACAGCAAGCCTAAGCTGACTAAAGTTGTATGTATTTGAGGATAATCCTTGGTGAAGGCAGTAGGAAAAGAGGAAGGCAGCATGACAAATAAATAAACTCCCATGAGGAAGCAACAGACCTGAGTTTACAAGTCCTTAGCTGAGGTGTTAACAATAAGGACTTGTAGAGATTCTCATATTCATAGGATCACTATAAGTCAAACTCAACTTTACAATCAACAACAACATTTAATGTTGATGTGTTGTCGAAGGCTTTCATGGCTGGAATCACTGGGTTGCTGTGAGTTTTCCATGCTGTATGGCCATGTTCCAGAAGCATTCTCTCCAGACTTTAGGTCAGGGGTCCTCAAACTAAGGCCCGGGGGCCGGATGCGGCCCTCCAAGGTCATTTACCCGGCCCTTGCGCAGGGTCAACCTAAGTCTGAAATGACCTGAAAGCCCACAACAACAACAACAGTCTTATCTTATCAGCCAAAAGCAGGCCTACACTTCCCATTGAAATACTAATAAGTTTATATTTGTTAAAATTGTTCTTCACTTTAATTATTGTATTGTTTTAAGTGTTTTTTGCACTACAAGAAAAATACATGCAGTGTGCATAGGAATTCATTCATGTTCTTTTTCAAATTATAATCCGGCCCTCCAACAGTTTGGGGTACGGTGACCTGGCCCTCTGTTTAAAAAGTTTGAGTACCCCTGCTTTAGGTTATAGTGGTATACCTATGTTAAGCTTGCTTTCCTGCAGTAGTTTCCTGCAGGGATACACATTGTTATGCAAACTCTCTTCATTATAAGGAATCCAATCATGAGGCATAAAGTTGCAATTCAAAAAAACCCTTGTATGAATAATGTTTTCAATTCTGATATTTATTCACAGGCCCTAGACAGCCTCTTTCTCGTTACATTAGGTGGATCTCATTATTCAACTGTCGTTAAATTATCATTAAAGTACGTTTGTTCAGTTTTAAAGGGAAGCATATAATTTGATTTGTTGAGTGTATGGAAATTTTCCAAATTATTTCTGTGTTTTGTTTTCCTATGGAAGTTCCCATGGTAATATTGATAACAAATTACGTTTTAGTCTGACATTTTAAAAAATTGACTTGTCTATTAAAGTATCAGCTAACAAGTTTATACAAGTTTATTCAGTATTGCTTGATTCCCTTAAAATCCGTGTCTAGGCAGTGTCCGAGTTACAAACACCCACCTTACAAATGAACTCATATTAAAAACAAAGATGAGACAACAGGAAGTGAGAGAAATCTACCACTAGGAAGGGGAATTCACTCCTAAAAGAGTTATCATGGGGAAAGGGGGTCTCCACTGAAGATTTCTCACTAAAACCATGTTTCCATAACAAGCCAAATTTTCAAAATCCAATTATTGTAAGGACAGAAAGTGAGGTGAAATCTTCTGAAGAGGGGCACAGACAGCAAAACAAGCACCAGAAGGGTTCTAACCCTTCCCTATGATATCCAAAACTTGCACATATATATTGTAGCTCTCTCTCTCTGTATGTGTGTATGGCTGGCTGGAGTTACACTTTACAATGTATCTTTTCCAACTTGCATACAAATTCAATTTAAGAACAAACCTAGAGAACCTATCTTGCTCATAACTTGGGAACTGCCTGTATAGTGGTAATACATTGCATAGCTTTCTATTTGAAAACTTATTCCCCCAGAGTAGTTGTTCTTAACGTGTGGGCTGCGGACCACCAGTGAGCCATAAGGATGAAAATCTGGTCCGTGAGCCTCCTTCCTCTTTATTTATTTTTTTATTCTTGCTCATTTTGTGCCGCCTGCCACTCCTTCCCTGTTGCTGACCATGGCATATGTTCTGTGTCCAAAATTAGGGCTGATGTAGTCTATTCAATGCAATTGTCTGAATCAGTACCCCAAATGGAATTAAAGTTGACCCAAAACTGATTTGTAAACCTTTTGGTACTAATGTTGGAGAGTGGTCCCTGGTCAAAGTGGTCTCTGTTCAAAAAATGTTTGGGAACCATTGCCTCAGAGGAAGAGAAACCAGCTCTAAATATCTTAGCATTTTTTCAATGTTGCAAAATCAATCCTTTCATGTCTCTGTTTGGATTTCCATGTTGTTTCATGCATGAGGCTCCACCTTCCCTTGCAAAGTTCTTCATTACATTACAGTTTTTATACCTCCCAGAGCAGCACTGTGTCCCTTGAGTCATTGAATTACTGCAATAAAATCAGGGAGCAAATAGTTGGCTGTCTCCATGGATGTGCATCTTATCCACATCTTCCTCCTTTGAAATCTAGATTGTATCTACACTATAGAATTAAGGCAGTTGACCCTACCTTAACTGTCATGGCTCAATGATATGGAATCCTTGAATTTGTCGTTTGGTGTGGTCCTAGCACTCTTTGACAGAGAAAGCTAAAGATCTTTTAGAATTACAACTCCAATGTTTCTATGTCATTGAGGTATGGCAGTAAAAGCAGTGTCAAGCTGCGTTAATTCTGCCATGTAGATGCTCCTAGTCTATACTCAAATAATATATGAAAGACTGGAATTAAAGTTATGTACACTGGCTTCTGGTTCTGTTAGTTATGGACAATGCACTAGGAAGTCTGCTACAACCCAACATCCCTAGGGTGGAGCTAATAATTGGAATGTTTTGATTGATAATTTTGTTTGCACCCATCTTACACATTGTTGCTTGAGACACTCTCCTTCCATCAGCATCAAATGCATCAGGTTTTCCTAACTTGTTTCTTTTCTGTGTTTCATTGTAGATTTCAGAACAATGTGTGATCTCTCCAATTGCGTTTACTGATGAGTGACTTCAAAATAGGTGGGCAAGTTATAATTTGCTGCTCTGCTGCTTGATGTTACATGCATATCCAGGGAAGCAAGTCTCTCTCTCCGTCTAGAGAGAGACAGTAAGATGCATGTTATGAATTGTGTCTCCTTGGTGAATGATAAAGAAAATGGAGCTATTTCAGTTGAAGCTGGATTAATGACTGGAGATACATCAGAACCAGAAGAGCAACTGCCTCAACCGCCTCCACCTCCTCCACTCCCTCCACCATGTCTATCCACAGAAGCTGGACTTTCTTCACCAGCAGTGGTGCCCCCGCCTCCTCCTCCTCCACCTCCATCCCTGAGCAAAACTTCATTCTCACAGCTGGTCAATGGACATGGGCACTCAAGCAAGAAGAAGCGAATACGTAGCTTCTTCTGGAAAACTATCCCCGAAGAACAAGTCCGTGGTAAAAATAACATCTGGACTATTGGTGCTAAGCAGAACTACCAAATTGACACAAAGACAATTGAGGAATTCTTTGGCCAGCCAGAGGGAAAGGCACCTTTGGATTCAAAAAGCAAGGCTTCACGGCGATCATTTAAAGATACCAAGCAAGAGGTAAGCATGAGCATGCAAAAAAGAAACTGTTTATCCATTTTTAAATTAAAGAATATTCCATCCATTAATAGTAAATCATAATCATTTACCATCCTTTGTGTCCTATGACAGAACTGAAAACCTGGACTTATAGTACTTTATTTTTAATTAAAGTAAAGATTTAAATCTTGATTCCGCCATGTATCAACATCTTTCATGTTATGACTCAGAATTTGTTGCATAGGTTGAGCATCTTGTATCCGGCATTCTTAAATTAGAAATATTCAAAATCGTCCACATGGGTGGCCGAGATGGTGACATCTTTGCTTTCTGATCATTCAGTGTAGACAAACTTTGTTTCATGCACAATGTTGTGTGTTAAATTGCCTTCAGGCAATGGGAGTAGACTCGATTAGCAGGAAAGGGGTTTAAACTCCCTATGTGGCACCTATATGCAGATGACACGCAACTCTACTACTCCTTTCCATCTAAAGCTAAGGAAGCTTTCCTGATCCTAAACCAATGCCTGTATTCAGCAATGGACTGGATGAGGGCAAACAAATTCAAATTTATTCCAGACAGGACAGATGTACTTCTGGTCACTTAGAAGGCAGACCAGGGAATAGGGATCCAGCCTGTGCTGGATGGGGTCACACTCCCCCTGAAGTCACAGTCTCGCAATTTGGGGGACCTCCTGGACTCGGCATTGAACCTGAAGGCCCCAGTATTTGCAGTGGCCGGGAAGGCCTTTGCACAATTAAAACATGTGCGCCAACTGTGCTTATTCCTTGAGAAGCCAGTTCTAGTCATGGTGGTACATGCCTTAATTACATTCCGTCTGGATTACTGTAACATGTTCTAGGTGGGGCTGCCTCTGAAGAGTGTTCAAAAACTTCAGCTGGTCCAAAGAGCTGCAGCCAGGTTGCTCACTGGGGCTGGTTACAGGGAGCAGATGACCCCCTTGTTGCAGCAGCTTCACTGGCTGCCAGTCTGTTATTGAGTACAATTCAAAGTGCTGGTTAAAGCCCTCGATAGTTCAGGTCTAGGCTATTTGGCTGACCACATCCCCTTGTATGAACCTGTCTGGGCCCTGAGATATTCAGGAGAGGCTCTTCTCACAGTCCCACCACCATCTTAAGCTCAGTTGGTGGGAATGAGATAACGGGCCTTTCCTGATTCTGGAACTCCCTGCCCAGGAAAGCCAGAATGCCCCCTTTCCGGTGGCAGGCTAAACCCTTTTTATTCAGACAGGCTTTTAAAGAAGGGGTTTAAGATCATTTCAGGAAGTGTGGTGGTTTTTAATTTAGGGGGTGCTGTGGGTGAGATTGGGGGAGAATATGAGTTTTAAATGTCATCTTAGTGTATCTATTTTAATTTTGTTTTTACTAGACTGCAACTATTTAAATGCTTTCTAATTTCTTTTAAACTTTTGTATTGAAACTTGTCTAGTGTTTAGTGCTAGCTGCCTTGAGTCCCTACGGGGGGAAAAGGCGGGGTATAAATAAAGATAATAATAATAGCAATAATAATAATAACAACTTTGCTGATGTTAGTTATAATTTTCAATAGATTACATTTTATTTAAGTTATCGTTGTTATGTTTAAGATGTCTTTATGTGAGGTTATTCTGGGTTATTATATTTCTACTTATTGTCATTGAGGCATTGAATGTTTGCCTTTTTGTTTGTTGGAATCCGCCCTGAGTTCCCCAGGGGAGATGGGGGAAATATAACTCAAGTTTTATTTTCATTATTATATTATGATGTTTCATAGTGGAAATTGGGAAAGGAAGTAATGGGCTAGGGCTGTTGGTTGGAAAGGAGTCTGTAGCATCCATGTTTGTTGGAGTGGCTTATAATATTGCCTTTTTCCCACTTCTCTGGTAGGGGTTCTGAACCCCTAACCTCCATGAATGTGGGTGGCCTATTGTATTTCACCTTACTTTATGTTGAGGAAGCTTGAAATACTAATGGAAACAAGTTTGTTTAATCTATATATGTTCTTTTAATCAGGAACTTTCCTCATATCAGTACAAGTGTAGCAGTTGTTCAGTAATGAAATTTGTCCTGGCTTCTTGTTACATCGGCTTATGCATATATTGGGTAATTCAGGAGGTTCTACATGGTACCAGTCTGTTTAATTAATACACATTATGTGCATGTAGAGAAACAAGGATGTTGATGTAATAGGCATGTGAATAAAATGTCTTGGAGAAAAAAGTATTGGATATAAATTATGTATGAATTCTTCATAGTGCAGATCACTGCTTTTTAAACTGTGGGTCCTGTCCTGACCCTCAGTGGGGTCCCCTTTGCTCAGTGTTGGGGTCCAGAAAATTGGCAAAAGTAAACAGTTTCTGTACGCCACCTAGATATTTGCACAAATCTGTTAGCAACAATGTGCAATGTTTACAGTTGACATTGCAGAAAATGCTTCAGCAGTGCTTCATAAATTGGAAAATTAGCCTGTTTAGCAAGTCTTGCTTGTGCTGATTTATTATCAGCATCAAATGTTTGATTTGTATGCCTATTTTATATATCTGGAGGTCTCGAAAAAATTTCTCATGCCGAATGGTGTCACGGAAAAAAATCTTGGGCAGAATGGGTTTGTGAGTGGAAAAAGTTAAAGAAAACCTGGTGAAGATACAGTGATTTTTCTCCAAATGTCTGCTTCCAAAAAGGCAAGCAAATATTTGCTAGAGAGGTAGCCTTCCTTTTTAGTAAGTGTTAGAAAACCCCAACCCCATAATGTCTTAATGCCTGCAAGTTTAGTTTTGCACATAAGTTTTGTTTTGCAGCCAGAAAAGATGTTTGCTTGATGTATCTTAAACTTCATTAATGCTGAAGTCTTAAGTACTCATGTTAGTGAATTGCCCTCTTTAAGCAATTTAGATTCACCTGAGTAAATAAGCTAGGAAAGCAATGACTCCTTTGAAAACTTTAAAATCATTACACTTTTATCTGTATTAGCAAATACATCTAAAATAGCACAATAGAGAAGATTATAAATGTATAAGACTAAATCCATTAAAACAACACTACATTTTAGTGGGAATTTCCTTATACAAATATTTATCGAATGCATGGCATAAAAGGCCCTGGCACCTTATACATTACTATAAACAAATATATAAACAAAATATTTGTTTATAGTAATGTATAAGGTGTCAGGTGTCAGGTATCTTGCATAGAAGTGATATACCACTTTTTATAAGACAATACTTAAGAGTACTGTACCATTTTGAGGTTATAATTATTTGCATTTCCAATGCAGTAGAATTGCTCTAAGTAGACTCAGACCTTGGCGGCACTGTTGATGCCAGGTTTTCCTCGGATTAGTGTCTGGGTGTATTAAGGGGAGTTTTTGGAGAAGTATATCTAAAGACGCAAGCATAATTAGGACGAAGTAGTATGGAGTTCAGGACACTGAAAAGACTTGTTTATTAAACTGAACAAAAAGAAGAACCTGGTAATTCTAGAAGTAAATTTAGAAAGATAAATGCTGGGAAATATCTATCTTTCGGAATACTGAATGTTACAATGGTGGTAAAGGCATTGGTATGACTAAATGCGTACACATTTGCAACAGAATTGAAAGGGAGGGAACTGGGTGTATAAGTACACTTGTGTATGAATCATAGCTCTGTGTATATTTGAAATCTTTCTTCATGTTCTTGATCATCTCATCTTAAGAGGCTAGTATCTAGGGGTTTCTGTGGACGTTTCCCTTCAAATCACTGTATTCCAAAGTAGATCAGGAGTTCCATGGTATAAGGACCTCATCAGATGGGATTTTTCCCCGTCCTAGGATGCTGAGGAGACGCAGCCAGGATGGAGCCCATAACATGACATGGGCTACTTCCGGCAGGGCTCCATCCCGGCTCTGTCCTTGCTGCGCCTTAGCAGCATGTTGAGAGGTTGTCCTGAGAACATGGGTGACTACTACCCATATTCTCATGGGAACAGCATGGGACGAAGCTGGGAACAGCATGGGACAAAGCAGGGGCAGATGGGAAAAGCTGTAGGAGAGTAAGGGGCCAATGCAGAGTGCTACCCAACGATTTCCCATGCTGCCCCACTGCCCCATGGATTGCTCCACTGTCCCCCATCTTATGGACCGCTGTTTGTTGAGGTCCTAAATAAGAAAGTGATCTGAGGCCTTAAAATGCCTTTACTGTAGTGAAAAACATACTAAACTACATAAACTATCATCTAGATGTAATTAGTATTAAAATAAATGAATGCAGTTTATGTGAAATGATCCTGTTATATGCGATCTTTCCAGGTCAATTTGCAGTAATGAGGTGCATCTGTGGCACAGTATGTAAAGCTAACCCATCTCGTAATGTAGATATCTGAAAAAGTTAACTGTGTAGAAGCCAATGGAAATAGTCTTCCACAGGGCTAACTGATAAGGGTTGCTTTCATATTTAATGCAGATGCAACTTCTCAATACTGATGTCAAGTCTGAAGAAAGCTGGAGTTGGCTATACATTTTGACTAGAGCTTATCTTGAACCTCCTATACCTCCCTAGAAAAGAGTTCACGTATAAAATGAACACTTCCAATTCCACATTGACTATATTCTTATAATGGACCAAACTGTGAATGTCTACTTGCAGTTGCGAATGGAAATGTCGCTGTGCCTTCACTGAGGTGAAGGACTCTTAGCATTTGATTTCTTAATTCGTATTTGAATAATGTAAAATATAAAAACCAGTTCCTCCTTGATTATATGTATGAGGAACCACTGTGTCTTCTCTTGATACACTATACCTGTCCTCATGACAAACTGCAATACTGTGTCTTCATACTAAATGGTAACTTCATACTAAATGGTAACATACACCAAATAACAACTGCCATGATTTATCTATCAAAGTAGGCAAAATGGGCTGTTTACATATTGCTTAGACTCCTACTCCCAGGATTCCTCTCCATTGGCAAGGTTGACTAGTGCGGGTGAGAGTGCAGCCCAAAAGCATCTCTAGGGTGGCACTTTTCCAACTATCCTTCAGTGCC